CGAGAGATTGGCAGTGAATGAGGGGGTAGAGAGAGATTGACAGCTTTTTTAAAACAAGTGGATTTTTTTGCAAATTTACCTCAACCCTCTTTATCTGCTCAATGTTGGATGTGTGGTCTAGATTAGTCCACATCACTACCAAGGCCCATTGAGAAACTTAGTACCAAGTTTCTCAATTTCTCTCTCTCTATCTATCTATATATATATATATATATATATATATAGAGAGAGAGAGAGAGAGAGAGAGATATGAGTATGCTTGGTACCAAGCACAAAAAGTTGTACTTGGTAGTGAGATGGCATAATCCCCTCCACTCATTCAAATGGTTGTATATCCCCATGCACTCATTAACTCATGTGAATGAAGTCCCCAATTTGAATGAGTGGAGGAGATTGTGCCACCTCACTACCAAGCACAAAATTTGTGCTTGGTACCAAGCATACCCATATTTCTCATATATATACATATACATACATATATACATATTGCAACCCACTCTTGATTACATTCTTTTTTTTTCTCTCTAAAATGTCGACCATATAAATAAACTATCAATTGTTTCAATTTACCATTTTTCTTTATCAATCTAAAGAATTTTTTTTGATTACCTTCTTGCATCGTTCAGACAAACTATCGGGTTAATTGAAATCAGCCAAACTAATTTGTCTTCAAAAGTTTCATCTCATTTGTACCTGAATCCAGTGATTCCTTTCACGCTACATTGTGCTTTAGCAGACTTAAAATCTACTAAATTATCTAGCAAAGATCTCATACAACATGAAGCAAAATAAAACCTTCAGTATTCGCTCAAGTAAAGACATCCACAAATAAGAAGTCTGGTTTGGATTGGAAGAACTTCGAAAAATATATTATTTCATTTCATGTCACAAATGCGGGTTGTTTATAATCTTAATGTAATAATGCGCTATTCAAAGTCATTTAGACATACTGAGCAAGTCAATATGTTCTGCAGTGCAGGAAGAAATTTTATTTGACATTTGTCAGAAAAATAAATTCAGGGTCCATGGTATACAAATGTAAACGTATTTCATGAACAAGAATTGCATATCAAGATATAGGTGAATTCATAGAGATCATTTCCAATAGCTGTCTGTGTAAGTTACCATTAGAAACAAGAACACCACCTGAAGGAAAGATGATCCTACGATCCACTGTATCTGCTGCAAGGTCAAGCGGATCCCCGCTCCAGTCAGTAACCTGATGTGACAAGATCATTTTATTCCTAGGATTTTTGATGGATCAAATAAGAGAAAAAACAAGACATTTTCTTTCTAATGACAGTTCCAGCTCAGTTGAAGAGCTATATTTCTGGGTTAGCAAGAGGAACGAATGCTGCAATTTTTGACAAAACAGATTGGCTTCCTAAGGCAAGGGAAAAAAATTCTTTGAAGAAGCCTCAAAGACTGCGCCTTCATCGCCTGATTTTTTTTCTTTAAGAAAATGGCAGATAGTTACGCTTCCTAAGTCTTCAATTAACCAAGAGACGGTTGAAACTTATTAGCAATGAAGAGAAGACCTCTAGGTCATTAACATTTCAGACTTTACCTTCTCCCACGGTACACCTAACTATCTTTTAAGGTTGCAATGGGTCGTCAATTGCCTTGATGTTTTGATGCATCAATGTTTCAGGAAAAGCAGGTTTTTGTATTTGTTGTAAGGGCCACTACAGAAACATCCTAACATGAAGAGTTCTGAAAGCAGCTAATAATATCAATTAAAGATGCTAAATTTTGTCAGTTTATGCTCATGCAGCAGAAGAGTATTTTTAGGGTGATTTGAAGCCTTGATGGTAGTAGAAATGAGAATTAAGAGAGTATATTACAAAAGTTGGTATTCTGAGACATTTCTTAATAATATTCTTGAGTTCCTTGACAGATTTAATCATTGGGTTCTTGTTATCATTTTCCTCTGAGGAATATGGTACAACTGCCTGCCAAAAGAACTGTAGACTAAAAGTTTGTAGGAAATGTGATACCTGAGAACACGAGTTCATAATATATGCACGTAAGGAGGGTCTTCAAGTATCTTGGACACATTGAATAGACTTAGATTAGGTCCAGCTTGGTATGTTGTTATGTTGAGAGATTACATTGGCATTGTAAACACAAGAGAGATGTCTAAAGCTATTAGGTAAGAGTTCCAACCTCCTGATTATTATGGATGATAAAAAAACACTCCAAGGTAATTTTCTTATCATTAAGGCTAAGCAATACAACTAGCATGAGGATAAATACAAAATCAACAAGTGAAAAACGAACCTGTCCTCCTGATTCCTTGACACATATAACACCAACAGCATGATCCCATACCTGAGAAATGATAACTGAGATTAGTAAAAGTGGCATGTTTCCTCCTGAATGTCTTGAATCTGAAGCTTTTGTACCTTGATTACAGTTTTAGCCCTGGCTCTAAGAATGAAAACAGATGCTCTTCCAGAAGCAACCATCATATATTTACACAAACTGTGAAGGAAACAAAGATAGGGGTTATTGCAGATTAGTTAATAACTATACCAGTACATTTAAGAAAATAAAACTGACTGTTGGGTATTTACTCATTTTCCCCCTTGGTTTAGGAGAAAAAATCACATTAAAGATAAATTTTAATTCTTTGTTGGGAAATGACAAGGAAGTAGAAAAGTATAATGAAATCATGTAGAAGCAAGGGAACCACAAGACAATAACATAAACACATATTTTGCGAAATTTAGGTGCCTCACTGATGTGTGTTGCTAAACAATAATGAAATGAAGCAAGAGATTCAGATTAGACAAAGATATGAAAAATATAGGAATAAAAATTTCTAGGACAAGTGACCTTGTGCAAATAGGAAATAGGGGAGGCTCTAACTTATGGTGGTTTAAACTGTTGGTTAAGACAATGGACGAAGATAAAGAACTACCAACATGGAAATCTCAAGAAAGCTAGAGTAATAGCTGTCAAGAAGGTTTACCACATAGGCATTGTATAGTTGGTTTGCGTCCGTTAATAGAGGCACATATCAAAGTCAGTGTGGAACCAACTTTAGTGGTTACAAATATAGGAGAGAGCCTCCCTCCTGACCAAAATAAAATTACCAAATGTGGTAGAAAAGAATTCTTTTTCCTCGAGATGACAAAATGGGCATCTAGAAGAAAAGTATTGTGGTTTATGAAGTGATGTACAAAATCAAACTGCTGAAAATCTGTGACAGAAAGTGTCTATACATCTGGCGTCAATGCAATATTCTCAGCTCAGTTCCTCTTATCTCAAACATTCTATGACGCATGTTCTCTGATGGACCTAAAGCTTAAATTGAAGCTAAATGCTACTGAAGAGAAACCATGACCATTTAAACATGCAATATCAATTACTCTTTGACAATCTTGATGACAGTGTGGAGTGATAAGGAGAGGTTGCAGTTAAGAAAAAGAGTGCCTTACCTTCCACAACATTTTGGTATAAGGAGTATTTCATGTTCATCTTTAATGCCATAAGGATCAAGTGTTGAACTAAATAATACAGATAATGGAATCATTTCCCAGGTTTGACTATCTGGAATGCAGAATCTTGCACTATGTACCAGATGATAGCTATCGACAAAGCATCTCTCCCAGACATCTTCAATTCCAATAAGGTTGCTATCATGTTTAAGAAATGTCCTTGTCCATGTTCCACAGCCTACATGGGAAACCATAATGATCCCAAACTCAGACACATCACTATTATGGTCTTCAGCAGAAAGCGGTTTTTCTTTCCAGTTTGGACAACCCATTATACCTAATACAAGTTTTCCTTCTACTACAAGAGCCAGACCCACCTGAAAGCCATGATAGTTTATTAAACATAGTCATAGTAAATAATAATAATAACACCATAAGAAACCTCGGAAAATATATCAAAAATGACCATATCAAAAAAATAATAATCGATTTCAGTTGACCTATAGTTTATGGAAAATGTCACTTAAGATGGCTTCAACAGGGCTGTTAAACTCTAATTACTGGACCCTTTTTCTTTTTTGGAAACATCGGAAGCTAAATGAAACTTCAAATAAGCTATTAAGTCATTTGATTCATCACCGTAAATGATACTAAAACAACAGAATGATATATAATGTTGAATAGAAGATGCTATATATAAACACATTCTTAGGGTCAATTACAGATAGACCTCCCTTACTAGCATGTTCTGCCACTTATTACACCTTAAGTTTGAAACAGGTAGATCGGCCCCTTTCAAATTGAACCTGTTTCAAATACATTGCAAATAGTCCCCGTGGTTTCTGAATTCAAGTGCAGTATCAAGGAATATCTGCCTATTAAACCTTAAGGGATGGTATAAGTGGCACAACGAGATATCACAGGGGTTCTATGTGCAATTAACCTTATTTTGTATATATATTTTACTATATGTTTAAATAGAAGGCATGCTTGACATCTAAATAGCCACGAGAGAAGGAAAAATCTAAGCCTACCACATATAAGGCATCACTCCCTTTCAGGAATCCACGAGTGCCATCAATTGGATCAAGCACCTGCAATTAAGGATTTTTAGTTAGATAAATTAAAGAAACTTTCACATAAAGATCACTTCATAAATCACGTACATAAAGACAAATAAAAAATTCTATGAATTTCACGATGTGCACAAATTCCATGATAACACAGAGTCATCAGACATTTTCAGAATTTGGACTTGAATATTTGCATCTTTGAGCATGTATACCAACATTGGCATGTGCAGCCAGTCAGTATTTCTGATTAAAACTTAACGATATTTTTCTCTCAAAAAGACTTAATGGTTATGATATTTCATGCCCTTCATGAACTCCTAATAAAGGTAGCTTTCCGAGATGAAAGTGTACTTACCCTAATAAGACAAGTTTTGCATAACTTTCATGGGTCAAGTAAAAAGATTAATAATAATGTCGAACCTTACTGTTGCAGGATTTAATGGTAACATGTTTGTAATGAAAATGGTAAAGGGAGAAATATTTTTTAGGTGGGAATGCAAGAAGTGACTTGATGTAAAACTGACAAAATTATGGGTTATAATCTACGAGAATCATTAACTTGGAAGATAGGATAAATATTTCAATGAGGGAACATAAGAAGTGATTCAGCTGAAAACAGCCAAATTGTGAGTTATAGTCAAGGAGATCTCGTGAATTTGAGAGTTCGCATAAATATTTCTATGCATGAACACGAGTGATTAGGCAAAAAATGACAAAAATTGGGGGGTTGTATTCCACCAGAAATTGTTAATTTGGGAGATTGAATAATTATGTCTAGGTGAGAACACAAAAAGGTCATTTAGCTAAAAACAACAAACTTTGTGGGTTATAGTCCAAGAGAAATCGTGAATTTGATAGTTTGCACAAATATTTTTATCTAGGAATGCACAAAGTAATTTGGCATAAAACAACCAATATTATGGGTTACAATCATTGATTTAGGAGATCGGTAAAAAAAATGTCAATACAAAAACACAAGTGATTTGGCCAGAAAAGGCCAAAATTGTGGGGTTATAGTCCATGAGAAATCATGAAATTGATAGTTCGCATAAATATTTTTATGGGGAAATGCAAAAAGTGATTTGGCATATATGTCATCCAAAATTGTAGGTAATAGTCCACGAAAATTTATTAATTTAGGAGATCGAATAAATGTTTCTAGGTGCAAACACAAAATGTGGTTTAGCTAAAAATGAAAAAAATATTGGTTAGTCCATGAGAAATTGTTAATCTGGGAGATTTGATAAATATTTCTAAGTGAGAACAAAAAAGTGACTTGACAGAAACGACCAAAATTGTGGATTATAACCTGTAGAAAATTGTTTATTTGAGAGATCGGATAAATATTTTTATGTGAGAACACAATAAGTAATTTGGCAAACGCAACCAAAATTGTAGATTACAGTCCATGAGAAATCGTGAACAAAAGCTCACAGAAATATTTCTACAAGGGAATGCAAGAAGTGATTTGGCTAAAAATGGGCAAAATTGTGGGTTATAGTCCACAAGAAACGTTCATATTGAAGATCAAATAAATATTTATAGATGAGAACACAAAAAAGTGATTTGGCCGAAAACGACCAAACTTGTGGGTTATAGTCCACGAGAAATCATGAATTTGATAGTTCGCATAAATATTTTTATGTGGGAATGCAAAAAGTGATTTGGCATAAAAATGGTTAAAAATATGGGTTATAGTCTACGAGAAATCGTGAATTTGAATGGAAGCTCACATAAACATTTCTGTGAGGGAAGCAAGTAGCGATTTGGCCAAAAATGACCAAAATTGTGGGTATTGTAGTCCACAAGAAATCATGAATTTTGGAGCTTGCATATACAATTTGATAAGGAAATACAAGAAGTTGTTTGTTGAATACATCTAAAATTGTAGGTTATAGCCCACAAGAAATCGTGAGCATAGGAGTTTGCATAAATATTTCCATTTGGAAACATAGGAAGTGATTTGGTCGAAAACAACTAATATTGTAGGTTATAGTCCAAGAAAACGTTAATTTCACAGATCAGATGAATATTTCAATGCAATAACAGAAAAAATGATTTAGTCAAAAACAGCCTAAATTGTGGGTCAAGCCCACGAGAAATCATGAATATGGGAGCTCACATAAGTATATTGACACGGGGACGCAAGAAGTGATTTTGTCAAAATGAAAGAATTTATAGGTTATAGTCCACGAGAAATTGTTAATTTGGAAGATCGAATAAATATTTCTATGCAAAAATACACGAAGTAATTTCACTAAAAATTATCAAAATTATGGGTTATAATCCATGAGAAATCATGAATTTGGGAGCTCACATAAAAATTTCCATGCGGGAACACAATAAGTGATTTGGTCAAAAACATTCAAAATTGTTGGTTATAGTTCATGACAAAGCGTGAAGTTGATCATTAGCATAAATGTAATATGGAAATACAAAAAGTAGTTGGCATAAAGCAACCAAAAATATGGGTTACTGTTCACGAGAAATTGCTAATTTGGGAGGTTGAATAAATATTTCTAGGTGAGAATAGAAAAAATAATTTGACTAAACACGACCAAAGTTGTGGATTTTAGTCCATAAGAGATGGTGAATTTGGGAGCTCGCATAAACAATTCTATGGGGGAATGCAAGAAGTGATTTGGTAGAATAACTAAAATTGTAGGTTATAACACAAGAAATTATTAATTTGGAAGAGTAAATAAACATTTCTTAGTGGGAACACAAAAAGAGATTGGGCTGAAAATGTCCAAGTGGGTAATAGTGCATGAGAAATCGTGAATTTGATAGTTCGCATAACTATTTTTATGTGGGAATGCAAAAAGTGATTCGTTGTGAAACTGCCAAAATTGTGAGTTATAGTCCATCATAAATCGTAAATTTGGGAGATTGAATAAATATTTCTATTCTAGAATACAAGAAGTGATTCAGCTGAAAACAACCAATATTATGGGTTATATTCCACAAGAAATCGTAAATTAGCAACCTTGCATAAGTATCTTTTTGCTGGAATGCTATAAGTGATTTTGCATAAAACAATCAAAATAGGGAGTTATAGTCTAGAAGAAATTGTCAATTTGGGAGATCAGATAAATATTCTAGGTGAGAACACAAAAGTGTTTTGGCAGAAAATGGCTAAAATTGTGGGTTTATAGTCTACAATATATCGTGAATTTGATAGTTTGTATAAATATTTTTATGTGGGAATGCAAAAAGTGATTTGGCATATAATAGCCAAATTTGTGGGTTATGGTCTACGAGAAATCATTAATTTGGGAGATCAATTAAATATTTTGATGTAGAAACACAAGAAGTGATTCGGTCAAAAAGGCCAAAATTGTTGGTTATTTTCCAAGAAAAATCACAAATATGGGACTTTGCATAAATATTTTTATGCGCGAATGCAAGAAAAAATTTGGCTTAAAACGATCAAATTTGGGGCTTACAGTCCACGAAAAATTGTTATCTTGGGAGCTCACATGAACATTTCTACCAAGAAGCACAATAACTGATTTGGCTGAAAATGACCACAACGGTGGCCTAGTGGGCTATAGTCCACAAGAAATTGTGACTTTGGAAGATTAGGTAAATATTTCTATGTAATAATACAAAAATAATTTGGACAAATACAGTCAAAAGTGTGGGTTATAGTCATAGAGAACTCATAAATTTGGGAGCTCGATTAAATATTTTCATGTGGGAACACAAGTTCTCCCTCAACATAATGAACTACTCAACGCTTGTATTCACTTTACCCAATAAGTTGCTGGTTGTGAACCAAAAGAGACTGCATCCTTCCCCCCTCTATCAATGGCTTCTAATACACCATCGGAAGTTAATGGTTCATGGTTGCTGCTTGCCTTATCAGCCACTGTGCTCACTATTGAGTCAACAAGAAAATTACCAACATAGCTGCCATCCTTCTGCGAACTAAGAGATCCTGACCTTAAAAATGATGAATCTTCTTCTGCAACTAATGGTATTGAAGGAAATGATCTCTTCAATTCTGCCATCATAAAGCAATGTAACTAGTTGTATTAATCATTTACTTAAAAAAACACTAATACACATCAATTATCAGATATGCAGTGCAGAAAAATATATATACTGAATGTTTTTCTTTAGAATAAATAATATGCATTTTTGTACAGTTTCTAGATCAGCCATTGACAAATACAACAACTACGAAAGCAACAAAGCAATTTGCCCCACAATCTAATATATCCTTTTTCTCAATTTAGATTTCTTAAGCCACCTCCTCCACTAGATGAACAACTCTAATGTTTTTTTTACAGACTCAATCCAAGTTCACTTAGGTCTAGACATACTCCTTCTTGCAAAACTAAGTACAAAACTACCAGATTAAATTAGTCAAAGGACTAAACAACATTACAAAAGAATCCCAGCAAAAGGCCCAATCAGCCGTAACATCCATCTCAAGCACACATTGAAGAGGAGGAACAAAGGTTTCTAAGAGACTCATAATTTCTAATAATTCAAAAAATATCTTAATATCACATGGAAGATGCATGAAGACTGAAGCGTATAACTTGACTAATGCAAGTGGACAGCAACGCAGAGCACGTGGACCATCTCCTTTTCTAGAATCCTTCAGCCAAGAGGACTAGGATGGCAGAGGCTGCAAGTAGCAGTTGGGTGGGTTCCTACCTACGTAGGGCCTGTTTATTTGCACGGAATTAATTATGAAGTAGCTAAAGTAAAAGAACTAGAGGCTACTTCTGCTACTTCCAAATAAAAAAGTACGTTTGGTTCTCTGAAAAACTTACTTTCAATACTTCCTTAAACACTTATGTGGTGCCTACGTGTCATCCTTACTTCCAAAATATTTTCCAATCCTCAATACTCAGAAGTAGCTCGGAAGTAGTTGAAATGCATATTAATTAGGAAATAAATAATTTTTTTTAATATTTTATTTATTAGTTACTTCTAACAACTTTTCATTGATAAAATTGCTCTTAATTTTAACAATTATTTTATAGTAATTTGTGATGGTCGTCGGCCAGGGTTTTCCTTGGGATGAAGAGAATAATTTATCTATTATTTTTTTGTCAAAATACCACGTTGATGTTACGATCAAAGGAGCGAGGGAGGAGGGAAATTGGATATTCATAGGAATTTATGGTCATCCGGAGTCTCATCGTAGGCGAGAGGTAAACAATTATTTTGAAGCTATGTGGTTGAAGGATTCTTCTTGCTCTCAAGTGGCGAGGGGTCATAGCGGCGTGAAACTGGTTATAACGTGCTATATCAAATTAAAGAGCGTGGCGTGGCTTTAAAATTATGGAAGCAACATGTGTTAATTACTTCCTAGTAATATTTTTAAATGTTATCCAAACAAAAAAAGTAATTGAAGAGGAAGAAGTTCTACTTCCATTGCTTCTAAAAATATATGAAACAAAAAAAAATGTTATTCTCACTACTTCCTATTTCATAGTTTTAAAAATTACTTCTATAACCTACTTCTTACTTCCAATACATCCATTATCCAAACGGGTCCTTAGTAAACTCAAGCGGTTCGGGGGAGAAAGAAAACCAAGCAATTTTACCCCCCGTTCCCCTTCCTTCCTCCTCTCTACCCTCCTTAAAAAAACTCTCAAACAAGGTGAAAGCTGCATTTCTCTTCCCCTCCCCCTCTCTACCCTCCATCCAAACAGGGCATAAGAGAAAACCTATTGAATGAGATGCAGGAGGATAACATTCATTCTCAATATACAAATTACCCAGGCTTATGAGAGCCTGAACGCTGAAATCAGCAATAGTGACCGGTGTCTGGTCGTTCTTCTCGAGAATCCGGTGGTCATTCGAAAGCAATGTTCGTTTCACCTAACCGATCGAAATGATTAACCAATTAATCACACATTTTATCCACAAAGAAAGTAAAACTTCTCCCGAGAATGGAAATAAAGGGAAACTTACATCGACGCAAAGACGGCAGGCTCTTTCGACGGCATCGACGGCCACTTCCGCTTCCTTAAAGAACCCGGCCTTCTCCGATGAAAATGGCAAGCTTGACCTAGAAACGCAGCGAAAGGGAAAAACTTTTATCAAAGGTTTCGAAACCCTAGACCTTCAATTTTCAATTCCGAATTGATCGGATCCGATACCTAATCGGGGATGAGGAGCAGGAAGCGCGGGTAAACCGAGAAGAGAGAGGACCATTGAATCGACGGCTGAGAGGGAGAGGAGCGTACGGATGAACCAGGCTCATGGCGGGAGAGTGGAACTGACGGAGATAATTTTAGGATTTCCCCCCTCAGTTCTTTCTCTTCTTCTTTTATTTTTTGGAAAAGGAAAAATTAGGAAAATTTGCTTCAAGGCCCCCAAAACCCAAAAGACAATGTGCCCAAGCCGTTCATACTTATCAAAATATGTTGCAGCCCCCAAATTTTAAAAAATGTTTGCCCAAACCCCTCCATCATGATTCCAGCTCATGTTTTCCTAATTTTTTATATTTTTTACCCAAAAACCTAATTTTACCCCTCCATCATGACTCCAGCTCATGTTTTCCTTAACATGTTAACTTTAATAGTTAACATGTTAACTATAATAGTTAACATGTTAACTATTATCATTAACATGTTACGTGCTAAGGATAACATGTTACGAACTTCCTCGCCATTAAAATTGACAAGAGAATAGGACATGTCGGCTCTGCAACCTCGCGAAGCAAAGAGCGGAGGAGAGAGAAACGGTTGCGGCGCCAGTCGCTATTGCCACGGGGGTTTTATAGCGCCCCCTAGAGTTTGTTAGGGGCGTCGAGGAAGGATGGTAATTATAACATGTTAAATGTTGAAGTTAACATATTAACTGTTGTAGTTAACATGTTAACTGTTGTAGTTAACATGTTAACTGTTGTAGTTAACTGTTGTAATTAACATGTTAACTATTAACTATTATAATTAACATGTTAACTATTATATATAAATAACAGTTAACAAATTACAAATAACAGTTAACATATAATGGATTATAGTTAACAGTTTACCGAATAATTTAGGGCTGGGCATATTCGGTTCGGATCGGTTTTAAGCTCAATCCGCATCCAATCCGAATTTTTCGAATTCTCAAAACTCTCATCCAGATCCAGATTTTTTCCCTTCATCCGAATATTCGGCCCAACCAAAATTCGGATCGGTTCGGATCGGTTTCGGTTTTGGACCGAATTAATACTATTTCACAAAAATCTGCCCACACTTAAGATCATTGCCTATTAATTTCTGATGAAGTATCATTATTTGTCCATTTTGTCTACTTAACTTTTCCCCCCAAACAATAAAATGTGGAGCTTGTTTGAAGTAACACCATTGTCACAGCTAACAAAAAACCGAAATCAGTAAAATGAGCGCAAACCATATCAACAAGTACATATGGTTACGTAACATTCAAATATTAATTAACTATAATCAAAAGGTTATCTTTCATTTCTTGGAAAACAACTTAACATGCCTCTAGTAGAATTTGAAAGCTTATATGAGGTTTCACCAATTTTAATGCGGGCATATACGCTAGCAGGCCCAATGAAAAAGGAACTATACAATATAAACATGTATGTAAACATAACAATCAAATTACCGAGCAATTATATAGCTTAATGTTCAAGTGATGACTCACTAATAAGAAAGCTATTCCATCCGACATCGTCCGAACCAAAAGTCCTTTCCATTTTGACCGAACTTCGATCAACGAAGTCCTTCCCATTTTGAGCAATATGAATATCCGACAAAGAACGAATTAGAAAATTCGGTTCGGTTTTTTTCGGGTGGTTCAGGGGTTCAAACCGGATCCAAACCGGTTTAATTCGGTTCGGGCGGTTTAGAGTCTTCTTCTCATCCATTTAATCCGGTTCGGTTAACCGACCCGCTTTTTCGGGCGGTTTTTTCGGTTGAACCGATTTTTTTCGGTTTTTGCCCACCCCTACCGAATATAGTTATCAATTTACCAATTAAGGTTAACATGTTACGTATTATAGTTAACATTGTTAGACCCTAGAGGGGGGATGATTAGGGTCTTATGCTAATCTAATCCGATTAAATATTAATTAAAACTAATTAATAAGTTATCCTAGCAAGTATGAAATACAACAATATATATTAGCTAGGATAAGCAATATAAACAACAAGATATATATCCTATATGATAAAAATATATAATGCAATGATATATAAACTAACACAAGGGGTAAACAATCTAAACAAGATAGTGAATGAAATAAATGAGCAATGCACAAATGACGATATAAGATGAATGCAAAAATAAATACGCCAAAGCACACTCAAACACAATCAAATGATCACGGAGTTCGGACCTTCCGAGTAAAATAAAATCTAACTCAAATAGCAAACTAGCAATAGTAAGAATATGAAAATCAATAACGAAATTGCTAGAGAAAAGAGTTAGAAAACTTCTCTAAGAACACAAAGAAGAGGATGAAGGGGATTGAGAATGAATCCCTCAATCTGCAGTGAAAACTTCCTCCTTTGTAAACAGAAACCCAATCTTTAAACAAACAGTAAAACCCTAAACCCTTGTTTAAAAACTTTGTTTAAAACTCTTCTTGATTACTTGAAAAGAGATCAGCAATTGGGTATTTATACCCACTCAAGATCTCAACAAAAACACTAAACAAAATGACAAAACAGTCCCAGACAAATCAGCTCAGAAATAGCCGTTAGGAGACAACGGCTCTATTGTCGGTCGACCGGAAATTTTGTCGGTCGACCGATGAGAGCAAAAAGCCGTTGGAGTGCAACAGATCTATTGTCGGTCGACCGGAAATTCTGTCGGTCGACCGATGGAGAGCAAAAACACGAAGACCAGCTCTGGACAATCGTCGGTCGACCGATGGAGCTTTCGGTCGACCGGACCGGTCAACCGACAGACTCTCTGTCGCCCAGTGATGAAAGATCAAATAAATTCCAAAAAATGTATATCTGATATTGAAATACTGTTTAAAAATATCAAATAAATTCTAAAAAATGTAAAACTTTGGGGAATGACTGTAGACATGATAATAAACATGCTACAATGACTAGTTTTGAAAAAAGACTTCCCAAATGAAAAATATCATCATTTTGCAAAATAGTCCAAAACACGAAAATGTAAACATGTGAATTTTGCCATTTTGGCTAAACCAACTTTTGAAACTTTACAAAATGATTTTATAGACTTGAAGAAAGATGTAAACTATTGTTATGAAGTCTATAAACAATAAATGTAGTATTTTATCAAAATACACATATAATGCACTAAAACATGATTTCATTTAACTAACTAAAATTGATATTGATGAAATCATATATATGCATATGAGTATGAAACAAAAATATGTTTTCTAATTATATTCAATTGTTTCATAGTAAAAATTGAAAACTATCAAACCAAAACATATATGTATATATATAACTATATATATACAAAAACCAAAACGTGTATGTGTGTATATGATTGAGCTTAAAGTACTAACACACATAATATAAATTCCTAAACTAAATTACCCAAGCAATGATCTTGATCTTCAATAAGCTTGACTTGGTAATCTCGCGGATGAAGCTTGAACTTGGATCTTGAACTTTGAATAGCAAGGCTTCACCGACATTCCGCCAACCTCCTTTGGATATGATCGTTGAAGCTCTATTTCATCCATCCTCCAACGATGTTGTTTGACTACAATATATAAGAATGTACAAACACTAGACAAACAACATTAGTAGTAAATTGTTTGTTAAACATCATTAAAAAAAAGAGGCCAACAAACATGTTATGTATAATAGTTAACAATTTATATATAATACTTAACATATAATATTAATAGTTAATAGGATAAATGTATTAGTTAACAAATTATATATAACAGTTAATAAGTAATCCCTCCATTAAAAGTTATACATCAATAACATAGCAACATAAACTGTAAGTTTATAATAATAAAAACATAATGCAATCAACCAATCTCTTTCTCTTTATCTCTTCCCAATAACACCAACATCTAAAAGCAAATCAAAGCAAATTAAAGCCACAAAGCAACATCACCCAAAAAAGCCAAAAATTAAAAAAAATCTAACCCTAAAAAACCCCCAAGGCCTCATGCGTGAAAAAGCTATAGTCCATGTCGACGACGGCAA